AGGCAAGCCCAGCGAGAACGAACGAAACGAACCTGATGGCGTTGGCCTAAGTGAATAGCTCCGAAGGTTCCTGCAGTCGCTTGTTAAACTCCGTTCGACTTTTTTTTTTTAGGCCCATGACACCTGTTCCCAGACCACCGAGGGTTGCTGTGCGTACTATGTATATGCATGTTCATGGTACGAAGTATGTACTAACTTATACGAAAGCATGCGTGATCAAGGTTGTCGGTCTGAAGTAACGGGAGTTTGCGCATACATACACTTGATGCTGACATGTACGTGCCATGCAAATCCATTCTCCCGCCAGGATGCAATGCTAGCTTAATTTATCCTTCTCTCTCCTGTGTCCACAGTTTGTTTAACTCGCGTTGATTTGCTTGACTCGCAAAAGGTGTGTATGCGTGTGTATTCACTAGCTTCCCACCCTTCCCGTCCGACTTGTGCATTGGCGGCGGGCGGGTAGAGAGGTCAAGGACGGGAAGACTTGAGGAGACAGCACTGGTCACATCTCTTGACATGGTACATCCTGATTCCATCAAATCGATCGTAAGTATGTAATCAGGAGATGGAGAACTCATGTGGGTTTGTCCGGCGTGTGGGCTCTCTCTCCTCTGCAACGTCTCCGAGGGAAAAGATGCAAATAGTTTACATACACATGTTCTTCCTTTTTTAACTTAGCGATGTTATGCTATGTAATGCCATGTAGAGCGGGCCGTGGATAGTGAAAACCTTCAGCAGGGCCTAAAAATAACGAGAAAATGAACCAGGGAACTCGTCGATATAAAACGATAGAACGATGCAAGGGGGTTTGTATGTAAGTCGACGTACATAGCAGAGGGAGAAATAAAAAAGGGGGCTCTCGTTTCAACGATGCAAGGAGAGTCGAAAAGGGGAAAACGACAACCACAGCAGCCAAACGGTCAGGATGATATATGAAGCTACGAGGCTATGTTTCTGTAGCTAACTGACTTAGGGCCCCCCGTCATCGGGCCTTTCGCCCTTTTCGCTGTCTTCTCTTCCTTGCGGTCTGACTAACGGAGCAATTAATCAATAGAAACTATTATTCGCCCTAGCCCTAGTCTCCTGCGCTATTGTCGGAGAGACAAGAACAGGCCACAGGCCAAAGCGGCGGCGACGGCGGTTTCGAATGAATTAAAAAAGGACACTATATATAATAATATATTAGAAATTGAAAAAAAAAGGAAGAACAAGAAGAACAGGAGGAGGAAGAAGGGAGGGAGATTAAATTAATTATCCCGAACGGGCCAAAGGGCGGGCCGGACCTTGAATTCAATGTATGGATCGATAGTGATGGAGGTCGAAATTACATACTCCAGTACGGAGTGCCCCAATAGAATAATAATATAAACAGGAGGATCGATGGAGCATGTCCGGGATGTGGGATCAAAGGCAGATCAAGATCGGGCTGTCTTTTCCCTTTGACAGGTCGAGGAAAGAAAGAAAAAGAGAGAGAGAGAGCGCGAGGATGAAAGGGAAGGAGATCACGATTTGATAAGACTAGAAAAAGAAGCAAAGAGAGGATGGAAGGCTTTTTTTTTGGCTCCCTGAGGTTTCTTTGCTTGCATTTGCAGGACATTGCATGGGCTACGCTACATATACATCATGTATGTACGGCGGAAACCATAATAAAGAGCTGCTCACCTGGGTAGGGATGTCTGGTATTGGATAACTGGAGGAGGATAGAAAAGAGGCGTCTCTTGTGCGACTCTTCTGTACTCTAGAGCCGTCTTTTCCCAGTGTATTAAACGACTATCTCTTGATCCAGTGGGGGGACCCTTGTTCGGGTGTTTAATTATTTTTTCCCTTTCTATTTTGTATTTTCTCATGTAAAAAAAATAAAAAAAAGATAGATAATATAATATCTGATCGACGGTGATCTGTCTCTGATTTCGCTTGCTTGCCATCTTCTTTATTCGATTCAGATTAGGTTGCGATGCGATGAGCCGTTCTCTTTCTTCTGTCCTTGCGAGCGCCGCCCCCTGAACCAGAGAAGCAGAAGAAACAGCAGAAGTGGGAAGAGATTGGAAGTAGAAGAGCCAGAAGCAGATGTGCATACACGGTGGTATAACTCCCGAACTCAAAAGGGTTTAAGGATAAGGCACAGGAACGGAAGAGACAGACGTACATATATCACAGACGCACATACATACATAACTTCCGGGCCCAGGGCGATGGCGTTGGCTATCCATTTCTCCAGAGCAGAGGAAAAAAGCACAGCACGGCGTTACGGTATCGGGAACTGCGCATGGCTGGAACCGGTGATCCCCTCTGCCCTTCTCCCATTCGTGGGGGCGCCGGGGGGACCCTGGGTAGAGGGTTGAGTTACCTATCTCTCTCTCCGCCTGTCTGTCTATACTTATTCCGTGCTTACACACTGGCCCGAACGAACCACTAGACTGAGATAGGTTGGGGAGGAAGGACAAAGAAGAGAGGTGTAGATCGAAGGGTTGTGAGGGACATGGAACAGGAAAAAGAAGAAAAAAAGGAAACGGATAGGGAAGCCAGGTTGACGGGGCGGCTGATCCCGAGGCTAGAGGAGTAAGAATAGCAGCAGAAGCACGGAAGTGAACGAGAGGTTGGTAGTTGATGCTTGCTTCCAGAAAACAGCTGGGGGGTGGAGGGGAGTGTAAGGCAAGGACAGGGAGAAGCAGAGGAGCCAGAGCCATCAGCATCGCCAGAGCCAGAGCAAGAGAGCGAGAGAGAGAGAGGAAAAAGCAACAACCCATGAGATGTTTGCCAGCAAATGGTATCACCAGACCGTGGAGTGTGAGTTATGAGTTGTCCTTGATCCACCCTCGGGCTTGCTCCACGCTCCACGCACTTGAGAATTTTGCAAAATAGGAAAAAAAGAAATAAAAAAAAGAGGTTGAAGAAGAAGGGGGAAGAAGATGGCTGGGGGGGGCGAGCTACTAAGTTAGTTAGCTCTCTTGAAGCAAGGGGTTTGTCGAAGTGCAAAAAAAGAAGAGAAGGGGCGTAAGTAATGGCCAGTACATGCCCAGTACGAAGTCTGGTCTGGCACGCTGCGTGTTTTGTCGGTTCGCGATCCACGGACATGACCCTTCGACGTCCCA